CATCATGGGATATGAAAAGACAATAGTGCCCAGAATATGAATGCTAGAGTGTAAAGGGTTAACCTTTGACTCCCAAGATCTGATTGTTAATTCTCCCCTCACCCTGTTACACATTTCCTTTTAAATTGGTTATGAGAATTTGGTGTTAGATCAAGATAACAACTTTTACCTGAAAAGTTTGAGGATCCTCTTTACCATTTTGCTGGATAATGTATGGATAGAATAGGGAGAAGTTACATATTTATCACTTCTGGGAGTTAAAATGTTAAACAAGGTTGTACTACACTCTTGTTCTAGTGTAACCCCTCTAATGAGCACTGAATTTCTAGATGTGGCACTTATTCATGTGTTAAATCAAAAGAATACAGTAATAATCTATGAAGAATCTCAAATTAGCAGAAGTGTATATCTCTGAGGGTTAGAAACTTGTAGAGACATTGATTAAATATGAGTTTGTTCTTGTACTAATGCCTGGTAAAATAAGACTTTCATGAGCTTTGCACTATTAATAAAATTTAATTGGTAATGGTAATAAGACTGAATGGTTCTTAATGTGTCTGTAATCATACCAGTGATTAACAAAATCTGATGACAGCAAAGTGGGAGTCAGAGTTATTAATTACAAGTCAGCAGAATATGCAACAACAGCAGGAAGTGTAGTCTAATTATGAGCAACAAGTGTACATCCTATTGGAACTCAAATCAAGCTGGTGATAACTAATCACCTTCAAGAATTTTTTTTATAATAAATTGATTACTTTGTAATAGCAAAGTACCATTGATTCAAAAGGTCTTAAATACATAATCTAAACAGTTCCTTCTATTTTATTATTATTCATATAAGTGACATCACATGCGAGTGGAGAACAGTTATGCTTGGAATTCAAAATATCTGAAAGTGCTAGTCCAAAATTGATAAACCATGACTTTCACTGTGATCATTTCCTTCCCACAATCACAATTGTTGCAACTTAACAGCAAAAACTACAAAAATGTGTGCAACCTGCTCCAACCTTCAAAATGAGTACAATGCTTGCATTTGCAATACAGAAAGCAATGTTTAGAATGATGAACTACCACCTGAGACAGTGTGTAGCTATTACATTACTATTACACTTCCTAGAGAGGAATCAAGATCATTCCTTTGCCAAGCATCACAGCAAGGGTTTGGTTCCATAACTGCCTTGTCTACTTGCAATTCATATTCATTCAAGGATATATGCCTCCAAAACAGCTAGCACTCTTCTCAATGAAATGCCAGCAAAGGTAAAGTTTACATAGTGGACTATGATTAATTGTGGACTACTTTACTTACACTAGAAACAATGGGAAAACATGCTACCAAGAGTCAAACTGGATTTTGCAAGTTTTTATTTTTTGGCTGCCTTGATTTGTAATTCATTACCTTTAAAAAAGTTTGAGGAACATTTATCCTAGTTTTGTTAACCCTTTAACAATATAGTGACCAAGACAGAATTTCTCCTTACAATATCAATGCAATACCAACCACAAAAGTGATGAGAATTAAGAAAAATATCAATTTGGGGATAATTAGTTGATTCAATACTAAATTCTCTGAACTAACATGATAAGAATTGTATGGTTGATGGATAGAATTACAAATTTGATCTGGGAGTTAAAGGGTAAAGGAAAGCCCTGGATGATTATTACTTGTGATTTCTATTGTAGTTTCAGCAGTTTTTATCTAAGTGTCTTTTGATTTGGAGGCACTATCTTGTACATATTTAAATGATTTCTCATTTCTTAATTGTTAATTCTTAGTAAGCAGGACCCCATTGAGAACAACTTACTTTTGTATTTAAGGGTTATCCTGGATAAACATTTTTGACTATTATTATTATTATTATTTAGTTGAATTCAGTTCTCCAAGGGAATTCATTCACCACACAAGCATCTATTGTTTGGGCAAAATTTAGCACAAAATTTTATTAAGTTAGTGAAACTGATAGAAAGAAAAAAAACTGATTGGATGTAAGCACTTGCAATGTCTTTCATTAGCTATAGAGTTTTCTCAGGAGTATTCTATTTAACTGATGACTGAAAAGATAATAAGTTATATATAACTTAGGTAAAAGACAATGTCTGGTTGAGCTGCACTGAACAATAACAGCATTTAATGGAAAACACAACACCACCACCACCAATGCATTAGCCTTTGACATCTGTTTATTTAAGACATTCAAGTAGAGTTACAAGACTAATCTTTACGATTCATCTTCACCCTCCTCATCTTCGTCTTCATTGTTGATCTGGAAGTACCTCAGCTCATAAGTAGTTTGTGCAGAGGACACAACTCGCAGCCAGTCACGTAGGTTGTTCTTCTTCAGATACTTCTTAGTCAGATACTTTAGATACCTGCAACAATGGAGAGCAGTTTACTCGTTTTATCACAACCACCCTGGTGTTCTGAAAAGATAGCCATCAAGCTGAATCTATCATAGCTCGCTTTCATTCAAGGAGATAAATACCTTCAAGGAAATAAATACCTTCTTCACTAGAACCAACATTAAAGATTGCTTACATGTTTGAACACATTTCAAGCTAAAAATGAGGTGCATGTTCTTTTAATAAATATTTCCAAGCAGGATATTTTAACAAATTCTCACAACTTCTTTGACTCCGGTACAAGTTGACAAACATAAGGAAAACAAAAAGTCAAAAATAGATGGTGCAATTTTTTTGCACAAATGAAGTCCAAAAAAGATTGCTTCATGTACATCAACTACACAATTTGAACCCTGAAAATGTCCTAGGTAAGGTCAAAAGAGGAATATTGAGCAAAATATGGGTTTCATAAGGGAAAGGGGCAGGGGGTCTTTGCAATGAAAAATAATGAGTTTCAGTTCAAGACAAACCTTTGAAGACTTGTCAAATTTCAAGATGCAGGAGATGGGAATTTTGAAGAACACAAGCTGCATGGTAGAAACATTTGCTGGACATTTGTGCCACGAAACTTACCTTTTGGAGAACGGAATTTCAGAAACAACAGTGATCTTGTTCTTCTGACGATCAATGGACACATCACTGCCAAAATTATTGGTCTTGCCACCAACCTTTATCCTCTCATGGAGAAATTGTTCCTGGAAGACAAAAATGTGGCACTTAGGGAAGGTGGCCCTAAGCATGGCAAACCAATCAAATTTTTTCCCAACTCTCACTGTTTTCTCCTACAAAAAAAAACTATCAAAGCAGCACTAGTGGATTAACTTTAATTCAAATTTACCACTGTGAAAAAGGAGATTGTTAAGAAATTAAGACTAACAACCTTCACACCTCTTTAAAAAACAATCACAGTCCTTTTATGAGCACCTGTAATGGTGCCATTTATTTGAAGATTTTTAATCAAGAGAAACAACTACAGTGTATCATATTGCAATTTTAAGAACTTTTTTGTTTCTATGCCCAAACAATACCATGGTTACTGTCAAAGTTTCTTACAGACTTAGGAGCAGACCCCAAGCTGCCCCAATTTTTTTTTTCTGCCCAGAGGTTTTAAAAAGTTTTCCAGAATTTTAACAGCCCTGCAGTTTCTCTGCCAAAGCTAGTACAATGTACTGTGTTTACACTTAACCTGCCCTATGATATAATCTGGTTTCATCAACGAAGCTGATAATGAAAATTAACCACTAAAAGAGTTTGTAAAGCTGACATTTTGAGGGTTAGCCCTTCATCAGAGCAACAACATTTCTTCAGAAATTTACCCCACTTGTTCAACTGCCCTACAATAACTGGAAAATTAAAAAAAAAATAAATAAATAAATCATTACTCACAAAGTTGGCTACATCCATGATTCCATCTTCAACTGGATGAGTACAGTCCACAGTGAACTTCAACTGTGTTTTCTTCTTCTGTTGCTTCTTTTTCTGCGTAAAAATTAACCAAAGAAGATTTAATCCACAGAGTCAATCAGCACAAGCAAAGTTTACCCTTTTCCTCCTGGTGAAAAGTAATTTCTCTCTATAATATCCATACAATCTCCAGAAGACAGGTAATAAGAATACTAAATCTTATCAGGTAGAAGTTAACTGGATATAACATCAAATTCTTTAATTCCCCATGCAATTGGGTTTATGTACTTCGTGAATTTTTACCCATTTGCCTTGTTTTCATCATGTTATCCTCTTTCCCCACGTTTCCTTCCTTTTGGGTAATTTAGTATTACCAACTGCATTGATAACCTAAATTGGCCACCATAAAGAGTTTGAAAGCTGACGTTTCATGAGTTAGCTCTTCGTCAGAGCAAACAATGAGGGGCTAAGGCTTGAAAGTCAAACTTTGAAACTCTTTCAGAGGCCAGTTTACGTTATCAACTCAGTTGATGATACTAAATTACGCTGTTATACTCTCCAACCAAGGTAGCACCACAGTTTCTTTAAAAATTTAACCCCTTCATTCCTTACTTTTGGTTTTGCTTGTAACTTAAGAATTAATTAATAAACAAGAATCGTTTTCTGCCAAGGGAGTGCACTTTCTGACCAACTTTAAGACCACCAATTTTTTCACATCGATCCTTCTTCAAAAATCCGAGAAATATATGGTTTCCTCGAGACGAAGTTTGGCGTAAACAAATGCTCGTGAGCAAAAACAACGTTTTTTGAAGCTAAAGCAGCTATAAGCCGTAAAAACCACCGAAGGAACACTTACATCATCGACAATCCTATCAAACGAGTTTCGAGTGAAAAATTCAGTACATGCTATAATTTCGATGAAAACGTGTGGCTTTAAATAAAAGCTTTACCTCCCCAAAAAGGTATTCAAAGTGAAGACAAGAGCTTACTCTTTAATTTCATTCCATAAATCTGTAGTTTAACGCGTTCAAATATGGTAAAATACGGAAAAACTCTTTACAATTCTTACCGCCGGCATGATGGCTCAAGAGAGAAAGAAAGAGAACACATGTGGCTATGCAGGGGGTACTTGACCATCCGCATGCGTTGAAAATAATTCAGCTGTGTAAACATCAATGCGGGCGCTTAAATGTTCAAGATGGCGCCCAGACGACCAAGCGAAGAAGAGTTGGGAAGAAAATGGGATCGGTGCCTTGTAGATACAACGTTTAAAACTGGTATTTTGAAAATCAAGAAGAAGTAGAAGATAATTTTGATAAGAGTTCGCTGAATTTACCTCATACCTTTTTTTCAGTTGGTGGAGCCGTGTTTGGCGGTGTTCTTTCGCTACTGTTCTTCAAAAGTAAGTCCAGAGAAAGCTTAGGTGTTAGCTTATGCGGAAGTTTTAAACTCTTTTGTGCACTTTAAGATTCAAATATTCTTCTAAAAACTAACTTTGAGGAAAAATTAATGATTTTTTCCAGCAGGGCGAAGATTTCGTGCCCTCTGTGAAGTCCAACAATTACTTCGCTGGAATAGGGGCCTTGCTGGGAGGTCTACAAGGGGGGAGGAGAGGGTTTCCTATTTAGGGTGTGGTTTTTTGGATATTTCAATGAAATTCGTTTGGTTACTGGATTCCATTTTTTGATTTGACTTACATAAATTTATCTAATGAACAAGAGGTATAAAGGTGACCAATATGAAGCAGCAATACACCAATATTGTCTAAGATCAAGTGTTCCCTGACATGAAATCATAGCTATTAACTCTTTACTCCCAAGATCTCATTAGCAATTCTCCTTACTGTCTGCATTACAATTATTTTAATATGATTTTGGAGAATTTAGTATTGGATCGACTAATGATCCCCCAGTTGATATTTTCTTTATTCCCATTACTCTTCTGCTTGATATTGTATTGATATTGTAAGGAGAAATTCTGTCTTGGTCACTCATGGGAGTTATAGGGTTAAAGGGATTTAAATATCCATGGCTCTTTTACACCCCTAGCATCTCTACAAAAAGTGAAAAGTTTATCTAAGGTGTTATTCATCATAGCCTGAATGAAACTAACTCTCATTTATGGGTATCATTGAAGGGATTGGAGGGTAAATTTACCTCTAGGACACTGGATTATTACCTGTAAACAAGAAAAAACACCCTATCAGAATGAAGGGTTTGAAATCCATCGAAAGGGTTTTTGTTCACACCAGCTTATTACTGCTTTTATCACAATGAGTATATTTGTTTGGATGTTTCCTTATAACTGTAGCTTCCTCTAATATTTTTTTCCTTTAATATGAAGGGGCTGCATGGCCTGTTACATTAGGAATTGGTGTAGGCCTTGGAGCTGGATATTCAAACTGTAGACACCAGTTGTACTGGCAGGGCCCTCCTGGATCCCCATTTGGAAGGCCTCATTGGGGAAGGCCTTTTTGGGGCAGGCCTGGTGAAGGTGGTGAAAGACGACCCTCTTTCAAGGTAGGTTAAGGAACATGGAAAGATGTTACAGATAAGGGTCCAGTTGTTCAAAGGGTGAATAACATTATGCAACAGATAAATTGCTATTTAGCAGATGGGTGTTAGCAAAACATATAGCATTATCCACCAGATAGAGATTTATTCAGTGGATAGTACCATCCAACATTTCAACAACCAGGGTAAGGTGCTTTACCATCAGGACAAAGCACTTTTCTCTTTATTCTGGTTACTTAGAAACACTGGGAAGTCCTGGCCAATCAAGGTATTTTCTTGATTGCATAAAACCATGTCACACCACCCAATAAATATCGCAGTCAGTTTTATTAAACCCTGTAACTCCCAAGATCTCATTAGTGATTCTCTTTACTGTATGCCGTAAAATTCATATGATATTGGTTTTGATAATTTGGAATTGGATCAACTAATAATCCGGTAATAAACCTTTTTTTTATTCTCTTTACTTGTCTGCTTGATATTGTGCTGATAGTGTAAGGAGAAATTCTGTCTAGGTCACTAGGGGGACTTGACCCTTTCACTTCCAAGATCTTATTAGTAATTCTCCTTACTATCTGCCATACAATTCTTATAATGTTAGTTCAGAGAATTTGGTATTGGATCAACTAATAATCCCATAATTGATATTCTTCTCTATTCTCATCACCTACCCACTTGATATTGTATTGATATTGTAAGGAGAAATTCTGTCTTGGTCACTTGTGGGAGTGAAAGGGTTAAAGGGTTGACCTGGTCTTTTCACTAGTTTTGAAACCAATATCAATCAGCCTACCTTTTTATTAGAACCAATAGCAAGTTGTTAGATTCCATAGGAGTTGTTTTCTATAGATTCTAATTTTAACCCACGTGACCAGTGGAATGGGTACAATATGAAATTCCCTTACCATATCTCTGTCTTGTGACGTCTTTCAGTCATAAGGAATTATCTGAGTTCTGTCCATTTGACTGTGGCTACATATGCAAGACAAGTTTTAGTTATACTGAACTTTTCATGGTGTCAATAGAGTAAAACTGACAATCAGTATCTATATCACAACCTGAGGTGATGCTATTCATTGATACAACCACCATGTTATGATCATATTTTTGTGGGCTATTGGTGGTAATACAGGCAGTTACAGGGCAATGAAGGTTCATTTCACTTCTATTTTTCTGTCCATATTGGCAGCCTGCAAGAGCTAATGACACAACTCCTGAGAACACAGCTGCAAGGCAGGAACTGAGTCAGGGGGAGAAATCAAGTGAAAGTTAAAAGCAATGTCAGAAAAATCCATTTGCTCAGGGAATTTTTTCAAATAGAAAGTGGATGTTACAGATCATAAAATGAGAAAACAAACACAAAACTACCTTGAAACGACCACCTGAACCATCCAGTGGAAAGCTTGTAAATTTTTGGTGAACAACCTGAAGAACTTCTTTCTTTTATCATTAACATTTGCTGCAACTTACATTTAAGTTGATGTGATTATAACTTATTTTCTCCAAGTACCCAATTTTGAAATGTTAGAATTTGGGGCAAAACAACTGACATTTAAGGTTCTGAAGGATAAACCCACAAATGCTTTCAGTTTAATCACTGGAGTTAAATAAATACTAAAATTTGATATGATATGGAAAGTTGGCAGTTCTTGTTGTTTTATCCAGATTTGTTTCTGACATGAATATGAAAGGTAGTGCATGTTTTTATGTTTTCCTTTTTTTTTTTAATTCAGTGGAATAAAAGGATTAGATAACAAGTTTTGTCTGTATTCATGATTGAAAGAGTGAAACTTTTGGTTTCATAGACACAGGAAATGACCCCAGCATGAAAGAGGAAACAAACAACCACAAGTTTTGGTGTCTTTCTTCTTGCCATGTTCTTTTCCCCTAAAATACTGGTACTTATTTTATGAGTACTACATCCTCTCACATTTTTATTTTTGGCCCTTGTGGGTTTGAATGGGCTTCTTCATTAAAAGACTAGAAGAAAATGATGCAGAAAAAACCTGAGCCACCTTTTTGCCTTGCCAGTTAGACTGGTAGACAACAAAATGACAATGGATAGAAAGAAATGTTTGGAAGGTATGTTTCCAAAAGTAATAAGGGGAATCCAAACTCATAGACACTAAGATTCCCTTAACTTTGACTCCTAAGAGTGACTAGCATCTAATTTCTCCTCACTAGTTAATCACACATTTAGGTCTCAAGAATAAAGGAATGATCACCAACTTAGCAGCTCTTGATTGTTGAGCAAAACTCTCCTTGTCAGCACCTTGGGAAATGTACGGAGAACAGTTGGGAGAATATGCATGGTTATGTTTGGGTGTAAAAAGTTTTTATCTGCAGCTTTGACTACGTGACCATCGTATTCATGTTCATGTAATGTCGAACTTAAACTGTCTCCGGCCAAGAGTAAATTTGTAAAAAGACGCTTCAAACGGACCACGAAGGCTAAAAAAAATACCCCAAATGGGTTAATTTACAATTCATACAACTTAATTGATACAGTTAGACCGAATGGTAATTTGGGTATGCAATTTTCAGAGATTTATTTACTGTATAAGCGTCACGCGTAGTATAATACATGCATGTACAGCTGTTTTTTTGTCATAAAGAAATGCATTTTTTTGATCGTGTGCGATGCGATAGCGATTTTGCAACGAAGTTTTGTATGTTTTGGTGCCTATCAGCCTGTATCAGGGCTCCTGCCTTTGCCTTACAGCTAAGAAGGCCGTATGCACGTGCACTACGTTATGGTGTCGAGTATACGTAACCAATTAAACCCAATGCCCCTCACGGTTTTCAAAATGGCGAACTATAGTGAGACATTGGTTAAATGATATCTCTTGTGACTCGTCCTGGTTCAGCCCCGACACTGGCCATCGCTCTTCGGAATCATGTTTTTCAGGGTCTCACCTCTGCATGTTGACATTGTTATCGATTTGAACGTGAAAGCTACCTCATCAAACGTTCTCGCATGTGCGTTTTACTTTACTTAACCATTCAACAGTTGGCACGTGAAGTCATAGACTGGCTTTTATTTTGTGTTGGTTAACTCCAAGGAACAAGGGGAACGAAAACATTGTCGTGTTGATATTGTTAGTAAAGGAGAAGATGTTGACGACGAGGAGCTGCCGTAGGAAGAGTCACAGTCAGCTTCTAGTGAGTGAATTATTTTCATCTGGTACAAATTCAACATATAGCAACTGTGATTTTTGAGTGCATATCCAGAAGAATGATCAAGAATGACTCTATTTTTCGCAGTAGATCAGCATGTTCGTGTTGAACGTGATAATTTTACTCCATTTGAATGATAGTTTTGTTTGAATGTGTAGTTGTTGACCCCCCCCCCCCCCCCACGTTTCCCTCATCTTCTGCTGCTCCCAGTTCTGCTTCCCCTGTAGTTAGTTGCTTTATACTTTTCAAAGAGCATTAGGCTAATTTTTCAGATGATGAAGCTGTTAACAGGCCTTTAAAGTATTCTTTTGATGATTTCCCAATGACATTGTGAGACAGTTTTTGAGAATTATGAGTCACCTGTGAATACCAAAGTGAAACCAGCCCCCTGTTCCTCTTCCTAACCAACCTCCTCCCCAAGTCGGTGGAGTTTAGGAGTATTTCAGTTTTCCAGTTTTCTCTGGGAAATAGATATGCTTAGTGGTATGTCTACAAAAAGGCAGGGAATCTTTAAGAGTTTAGTCTTACCATAGTGCCCCATAGTGTCAGAAGTACATTCATGCAAATGATGATTCCAATTGCTGTGCAATGTGTCATACTAAGGAGTGTTGTTATGATAGTTAAATATTTAGCATACTATTTTACCCTCTGCTTGATTTTAACCATAGGTAGTGGTTTAAGATTTTTTGTTTCCTTAAAGAAAAATACCAAAGAAGAATAAAAAATGAGAAAAAAACAAATTGAAAATGTGAAGAAAGGAAATACAGAATACCATAGTTGCCACTTTATAGCATTTATCTTTGTCAGCCATGAGGTATGATAGTTGTGTTTTAATTCTTAATTTGTCGAACAGGCCTCCCATTAAATTGTAGGGATAGTGAAAGGCAAAATTATTCACTTGGTAACACTTCAAGTACTGTCCCTGAGCTGAAACACCCCTTATTTTTGTCCAAAAATACTCTTTCACTGTTGATATTAGTTACTGACAAGGGCATACTTAAAACATAGGCATGCTATGCATGCAAGAGTATTTTTTTTTTTTTTTTGATGGGTGGGTCAAAATGGGAAACTAAGCAACTGATTTTTGCATTTTTGTAAAAGAAAAAGAGTATTTACCTATGAAAGATTCTGATGAAGATATTGTTAAATGGAGAGCAAAAAAACAAAATCTTCCAATTTATCAGAAATAAACTCAGAGAAACATTTTATGGTCTATTGCCACTGGTGTCTGAATAATTGTTAGCAAAAATGAACAACATTAGTGCAGAAAAGTGGTGAGAAAAGTATCATATTTCAAAGCATAACAACATGGGCTCTTTATTTGGTAATTGCCTATCTGTACTTTGCCCCATTTGTGTGGAATACATGATAAGATGCAGGCTGTCTAGAAGGAATTGACATGTGATGGGATGAAGTCCTAGGCAGCTAAAAGTGAATTTGATTGGTAAATCATATCTTAGCACATGAGAACTGCATGGAAAATTGACTCAAAGTAGCATTTAGTTCCATGTGAAATTTTTTCAGTGGAGTGGGATTATGTTGTAAAATTTAGGTTGTTTACTGGAAAATGGCATATTATCTGAGAAAGTCTAGTTCACAGCAACAAGTTAACATGTAATTGTATCAGGAAAATACCTTTTAAACACAAGATGACTAACAGAAGCATGGAGAACTTTTAAAAGCAAAAATAAATATATAGTCCACATGACAGTTGACACAGAAAGTAAATATAACTTTGTGATTTTTTCAGCTTTTGCAAAAAGAGCAATCAAAAGGCAAAAACTAGATTATTGATCAAATCTGCTTTATGCAAATGCTTTGCACAATTTTTACCCTAGTCAGCAAAACACTAGCCCTTCCAAAACAAAAGTTCTAGTGATAATTTCATAAAGGCCTTAAGCCAATGGCATGTGCATTGTAAGTGAAGGAGTGTTACACAAAACATGTTTTAACTTCTAAATGGTAGAAAAAAATTCCCTGATCACCTTTCTAACCTCCTACAGGTCATAGCAATGAAGTTCTTAGAAGAAATTAACTATTACACTGGGTAGATGAGCTCATAATTCTTTGTTAATGCTATTCTTGGTGTTTATCAATGTTAGTTTGATTCCATTGCAACATATGACAGTACCCTAATTTTATGATGTGATTGGCATGAGGGACAATACTGTGACACTTTGATTGGTGCAAGCATACCTCATTGCTGTGATCTGATTAGTGTGAGATACATACCCTAATGCAGAAGTCAGGTTATGCAAGATACATACTCTAATGCGCCCATCCAAGATAAATACCATTTGATATGCCAACATAGGGTCATATATTTAATATTTTTGCTAATAACTCAAAAATCATTAAAAAATGAATCTTTACTCTTTTTCAGGAAATGTGAATTTTCAGGAAATTCTGATCTGTCTGAGTCAGAGCATCTGCTGTATTTATCACTCTTCAGGGGAACAAGCCCCTAAAACTCAGTGCTACGGTTCTGGCTCAGTAAAACACATGCATGCATCATATCTGTTGACATGGTTCAAACAAGAGGTAAAGAAAACTTGTGAATTGTGCCATTTAAGTGATATCAAGAAAAAGGGCAAACCATATATGCTGAGGTAATTGTTATTTCTAAGCCCTTTTCTATTGAGTTGTATTGGTTCAGTTGATCTTCATTTTACCAGGGTCAACATTTTTGTTTTCATTGTCACCTTTGGAACCTTTGCCATACCCCTCCCCCCTTGGTCCTCTATTTCCCCCCCCCCCTCTTTGAACTTTTGTCTCTCTCTTCTCCCATGTTTCTGTTGGGAAATTGGGCAAAACAAAGGTGTTTGATAGATTAAGGATTTTTCTTTACTGAATGAAGTAGAGGAAGCAAGACAGTGGGCTACAAAGAAAATTGAATTTTTTCAGAACCAAAGTTAAAACCATATCCTTGTACTATTTCCAGATTTTCACATTTCTAGACTATCAACTTAAGATACATCCAACTAAGCTAAAGAATTATTGGTATATTTCCAGAATTCATATGCTTGTGAGTAAGCTAATTGACATATTACATATTTTTACACATTTTTCTCTAAGGTGATGAATTTGATGTGCAGCACATTCCATTGTGATGACATGTTCTGTGCTCTTCTACCCCAAGTTAAAGCCCAATTTGTTTATCAGTTGATCCAATACCGAATTCTCCAAACTAAACATGCATATTATGAAAAAACTAAACATGATTGTGTATGATGAAAATTTGGACCAGAATTTTCAATATCTGGTTGGGCATTTATTTGAGGTAATAAGCTATTTTCATTTCATTTTTTTAAGATGTTTTATTGCTGGTTTAAGACAGGGTGTGGAATTTTGGTCTAGGTTTAAAATAGGGTTGGAATAATTTTGTATTTCAACCTAAGGCAGGGCAACAGTTGATTTTAAGAAGGGTGCTATCTCTGCTAAAGAAAAGGTACTGCTGAAAAAAGCCTCTATTTGAGCAGATCATGTTTCTCAGATAAATTATTTATACTTTTGTTTGATATTGAGAAGGCTTTACCAACCCCCCTTCCCCTGCCCCACCCCCATCGTCTTCCTTTGTCCAATTTTTGTTTTGTTTCAAAACTTTTTGTAAAGCTCTTTACTCTGTCTGATATGTCTAACCATAGGGGCTGAATTGATAGCAACACAAAGAATAAATCTGCTTACATGATTTATTCAACAATCATCTGATAAACTTAGGAGTTCCACTCTGATCTACTAATACTAGTCAGTGAAATCTCAACTTTTCATTCCATCATGGTAAGGCGACAGTTAGACTGACTATTGCTAAGTAAATTCCTTGCGTGTTGTTTACCTGCTTCTGTGATGTTATTTGCTGAGAGGTCTAACGTGCGTAGCTGACAGTTGTTGTTGTTGATGGCTTCAGCCAAGTGCTGTGCTCCAATGTCTGAGATGTTATTTGATGAGAGGTCTAACGTGCGTAGCTGACAGTTGTTGTTGTTGTTAATGGCTTCAGCCAAGTGCTGTGCTCCAATGTCTGAGATGTTATTTCTGTGAGGATTAACGTGCGTAGCTGACAGTTGTTGTTGTTGATGGCTTCAGCCAAGTGCTGTGCTCCAATGTCTGAGATGTTATTGTATGTGAGGTCTAACGTGCGTAGCTGACAGTTGTTGTTGTTGATGGCTTCAGCCAAGTACTGTGCTCCAATTTCTGAGATGTTATTTGTTGTGAGGTTTAACGTGCGTAGCTTACAGTTGTTGTTGTTGATGGCTTCAGCCAAGTGCTGTGCTCCAATGTCTGAGATGTTATTTGTTGAGAGGTCTAACGTGCGTAGCTGACAGTTGTTGTTGTTGATGGCTTCAGCTAAATACTTTGCTGCTTCTTCTGTCAATTGATTTCCTCCGAGGTTTAACCAGCTCAGTTGAGATTTACTACATTTTAACAACTTACAAATTTCAAAACAACCTAATGGACCAAAGTTATTGTGGGCCAAATCTAAATGTGAAATTTGTTGAACATTCTTAATTACAGTAACTACTGAAGCACAATCAACAGGTGTGAGTTGACAACGATTAAAATTTACAAAATTAAAGTTAATTTGTTGTAGTTTTCTCTGAACTATTTCCTCCATCTCACTACTTTCGTTAATGCATTTAAATAATGTCACTGCTAAATGTTTTTTGTCTTTAGTCGGCCAACAAGTTACTTTCCTTGGCTCCATATCCTCTGTCCACTCTTCGTTGTACCACTTGCTTTCTTTCTCTTCAGTTTCCACAGGAAGAAGGTCTGTGATGATTTCGCTCGGTAGGTTTTCTTTCTCGTTCATTAGTCCTGCTAGAAACTGAAAAACCAGCTGCCATTTGCCGTCCGCGATGTTCGTAGAAACAAAGTTCCTCAGTTCTGTTTCATCCATGTTTGCTAGGTGCCTCGCAGCGAAAAACTCTTGCATTGTTAAATGAATGAAACAGAATTGTTGTTCACGTTTTAGCGGGGTAGTTTCACGGTCGGGTAAGCGGTGAAAAAGAGCGCTGCCTTCCAATCCGCGTACTTCGTTTCCCCCGAAGACCAGCCTTCCTTCTTTAATTCCTTCAAATGCCATTTTTTCAAGTTTCTCGAATTTCTTTTCCACGTTAGGGGGCAAATTATCTGATTCAAAATCTTCGCGAGTGAAATTCTTGCCGCGGAATTCTTCGTTGTGTCTTAAGTAAAATATTTTCACTGCTTTCTTGTAAATATCTGTTAATTTCGTTGGTAGACTTAGACTTTTAGAACCGTAGAACTTCGCCATTTGAAAGAGAGTTGAGCAAATGATGAAGCAACTCGCAGGAATGTAGCATAGAGAGAGAATGTTCCTGTTGCCGCCGATGTGTCGCCATATTGTTTTGCCCGCATGCTTGTCCTCCTCAGCAAATTTGGTTACGTACTCTTCGACTTGTTCGGATGAGAAGCCGAGGATCTCGAAGACTTTGTCGAAATCAACACGCTCGATGCATGACAAAGCTGTAGGTCTTGTGGTTGTCAAAACGGCAGCTCCGTTGAGTAGTTTCCCAGTCGCAAGCTTCTCGTATAGAGCATACAAGGGCATCTTCTCGTCTACGCGGTTTTTGAATTGAGGCTCGAAATTTTCCTCCCCTATCTTTGAATTAGGTTTAAATTCATCGATTCCATCGAAAATAATGAGAACTCTTTGGGGGTTCTCAAGGATGTAATTCCAGACTTCATCATCTATGTGATCTGAGGGGGAATGTTCTGACGATGTGAGCAGTTCCCGGAGGCTAAGGTCGTTTGCCGCGTTGAATGCTCTGAATTTGATGAAGAAAGTAGCATCAAAATGGATTTTAACATCAGATGATTCATGGAATACTTTGTTAAATGCCCAGTCTCTGAGGAGTTTGGTACAGCAAAGTGTCTTTCCGATTCCGGGACGACCAACAATCAAAACGTTTTTGTTTTCGTGGTTAAGAATGTCCTCCGGCCCTCTAGGTGTTGTGTTTTCCCCACCCGATCTGGTGTAGACTTCGAGTTTCTGCCGTCTGTCTCCAGTAAAGTCATAATTAGCCATGTCTGGAACAACGACAAGGTTTGTGTAAATCTGATCCAGAGTCAAATGTTTAGCTGGGCGTCCTTCGCCGGGAGTACTTGAAAAAGGCGACCGGAGTTGGGGAGGTCGCTTTGTCTTATCTCTAATTTTTTTCTTTGTATTGTCTATGAATTCCTGAAGCGGTGGTTTTCGGAGTTGTTGAGGCTTGCTTGGCAGATTTGGGATGTTCGTTTCATTTTCTTTACTTTCCTCTTCCTGGTGTTGTTCTTGTGGAACGTTCGTTTCTTGTTTCTTGCTCTGTTCTTTCTTCTTGCTGTGGAGGTTCAGGTCTCGACGGAGTCGATGTGGTAGCATTTTGCGAGTCGGCATGGAAGGGATTCAGGTGAGCCTCTAGAAACTTGGAATTTTTCATGAAACTATCCTCTTTCCAGGCTCGTAGCAAAATATAGACGGTTTCTAACAGAATGCCAAAGAGAAAAATTCCGTTCACGACAAGAACAGCGCGCATCCAGGAGTTTTTCTTAGTTGCT